GAGGACCCAGATTGTTGGGGGCAATATGCTGACTCTCTGTAAACCGCTTAGAGAGGCCTGAAAGGCCTATGAAGCGGTATATAAGTCTACTGCTATATGACAGAACCCAAATGTTTCTTTTGTATCTGCATTGGAAAGCCCTCACTCCCAAATTCAGCACTGCTAATACATTTTTATGAAAAAAAGTTCTGGAGAATGTGTACAAAACAGCATAAAACAGGAATTTCATTTCAGGGTCAAATGATCAAAACCAGAGTATCAACCCACTTATTGTTCAATAAAGATTACATAACCAATTGCTTACATTAAAATTGTATTTCCTATTTATGATGCAGGCAGAGTTATGACATCCAGATTGTTGCCATAGTGGATGAGACAGGCTTTAAATCAGGAAATGTGCTTGATTTAAAGAATCCATTCTTTAGGTAAGAAACCTTGAGCTTTGATTCATAGTAATTGTTACGAATTATGACATGATTTCTATTTTAGAATGCATAAGTAAACATCTAATGCTGTCTCTTGTTAGGAAGAAGAAACATTGCTTATTAGCATTGAACCCAGAGCATAAACGTTTGCCATCTATAAGTGACTATAGCGGGGGGGGACCCCACCCCATCTTTCCAATTTTCATACTTTGTTTCCCCCACTCGGTTTGATGTAAAGTTGGGTACCCCTTAATCTTCAGTTTTCTCATAATGTCTTCATTGTGATCGTAATTGTGAATATGATGATGTGGCCACCACAATATGATACAAGTTAGATTTATGGCCATCTGGTGATTTCAGTGAAAATAAACGAAGGCATGTGGCTTTCATTATGCCATTGCATGCATCCAGATAGAGCTGTCATTGTGCAAATTCTATCTACTGAAACATCTTGTATGCATCATCCAACTTTTACTTTTTGAAACATTTTCATAGGTACGCTTAGATTTGATGAAACTAACCTGCTAGAAGAACAGCTAGGATTATAAACAAACCAAGGAGTCTATGAACAGTTAAATACGAGCATATTGGCATTGCTGCTTCTGTGAAATCTGTATGTACGTATTAAAAAAATATTTTCTACAAATTGTATAATATTTGTGAAAACTATTTTTTCAGATGTATATCTCCAGCGTTTAAACACATCTGTTTGGAACTGTAATCCACTGTAATTAATAAATGATACTTGGTTGATGTAGCATTTTTACTTTGAAATTTTGTTATAGTAGAATCAGCCGGACCAAGTAAATATGTACTGTATAAATTTGAAATGTTAGTCCCACATTGCTCTTTGGAATTTTTCTGTTTGTCAATGGAGATTTTCAATCATCCAGGTCATGGGTGCCCCAGAAGTGCTTTTTCCAAAAGGCACCTGGACTTTCTGGGTTTTTTTTCTTTCAAAACATTTTACTTCTTGAATGAGAAAAGCAAAACGTTTTCAAAGCAAAAACCAAGAAAGTCCAGTTGCCTTTTGGAAAAAGCATCTTTGGGACAATCATTCTTTGTTCAAACTTAAGTGAAATTGGATTGCTACAGGAGATTGTATTTGGTTTCTCTTTGTAATGCTGACATTCCTTTCTCTTTTATTCCTTTCCCTGAAATATTTTTAACATATAACCTACCGTGTGTGTGTGTGTGTGTGTGTGTGTGTGTGTATAAATAATATGAACAAAAAGCTACTATTATACTTCAATCTGTTTTAGTATGGGCAATGTAATTTAAATATTAAAACATTTAAATATCTAGAGTTTATTTTCAGCTAGCCAATAATAAATAATTAACTACCTTGTGGCAAAAGGCATTAGAGTACTTACTTGATGGATGTCACCAACCTATAACAATGTTAATGGTGGGGGGGGAGGGGAAGAGAAACAACTCCTGTGAGTTACTCAACAATCCAGCGTTCTTAAAATCTTAAAATGAATTTTAGATTGAAGAGCATATAACCTCTGCATCCATTTGTATATAGTATGGAAATATATACAAAATATATGTAAAATATAAAGAGGTTTTAACAGAGTGATTTTCAAAAATGTATTATAACCACCATCACCACCATCCTTCCCCAGTCCTCTTACTTTCATTTTGAGTTTCTAGTTGGTCATTTAATTGGTCAAGTTTTATGTCCAAATGGATGCCGTCTGACGTATTTAACCATGAAATTCTATTTCACATGGAATCATTGTTTAGGACTTTGCAAGGGATTGTTTAGAGCTTCAAAAAAAGAGAAGTATGCAAAAATCTGGAAAAAATAATTGACATGAAGTCATCTACCAGAAACTTGAATAAGGTGTTATTTAGTGCACCTTAATTCCAGCACTTGTTTGGGAAAAAGCAACTAAACTTGTTCTGTTTCTTAAAAAAAAAAAACTTAAAGCCACTCATCTTGTCAAGGAGGAATACAAGAATTCAATAAAAATATCACTAAGTTAATAAATAGACATCAGAAATTTAAATTTTGGTTACAATTAAATTGACCAGGATGCAGAGGAAAAGAACAAGTGCACACGGGGAGAATGTGGGTCACACCTAATCCATTAACCACCTCCAGGATGTCACTCCCCCATTGGGGCCCCATGCCAGCTGGCAGAGCCATGTCTTCAAGTCCTTTTGGAAAGTCAAAAGGGCTCACCTCCCACCTCTGGGAGCGTGATGTTCCAGAGAGTGGGAGCCACAGCAGAAAAGACTCTTCTCCTGGACTGCATCAGCCAAAGTTCCTCAATCAACAGGGTCTGCAACATGCCTCTTCTGCCGGCTTGGGTGGGATGGGCTAAATCCATTGGGGTGAGACTGTTCCTTGGGTAATATGGTTCCCTTTTCAAGGGAAGATTGAAAGTAAATGAGAGAGAGGGTGCTCGCTGCTGCTGGAGCAAAGCATAATCAATAATCTGTCAAATCACAACTAGTATTTTAGTTCCATAGCTCCCTAATCACTTACTCTTTCTGTTGTTGCATCTTAGCTTTGGAAAACTCAAATTTCTGCCCTCAATACAATCCTATTAAGCAGCTACTGTAAGAAATCCTACATTAATCTTCCTAACCTGTTGGGTGTAATATGGTTGATAAACTGAAAGATAGAAAGCTTCATTTATTTCAAACCAATTAACTGCACAGGTGATCAATCAAGCATAATCCATAAGATAATAATTGTAATGTGTCCATGAATATAACAATATAACAAATCAAGATATTTACTGAAAGTCACAAAGAAGTATTCTTTATATCTAGGACTCCCTTGCTGAGAGAGAGAGGGGGGGAAGGGAGAGAGAGAGAGAGGATAGATCAATCAATAGATAAGTATTTCTTTACAATTAGGATATAATTAGCCTCTCTACATCAGTTGTGTCCAGCCCTTTGCCCACATATGGCCCTGGATAGCTAGCAAGATCATGTAAGATAAATTCCCAGAAATTTGTAGAGAAAGACACACAACAGAGAGCCCTTTGAATTTCACTGATAAGTGTAAGCTGAAGAAAAGGCTAGACAGATACAGAACAAATAATCAAAGCAAATGTATTTACGTCCTTTGAAAAATCAAGGTTATCTCAATTTAATTCCAGGTTCTTGGAAACCTACAGTACATAAAGGTTATCATTTGGATTACATACTTCTGGTTGTTTACAGCACATGTATTTCAATCTGTAAGGTGTGCTATACAATACTAAAATGCCTACAATCTTGATCACAAGTGGTAATGGGGGAAAGCAAAAGGCAAGCTAAACTGACCTCAGAGCATCACAAAGACTTGCAGAATACAGATTTAAAAACAGAATTTAGATCAAAGACCTGAATAATCTCCACAATTTTAAGGAAATTAGTGAACGTAGCAAGAAAAAAAGAAAGTCATCTATATATTATGCATCCCATATATGATAGCTCTATATTTCCTATTGAAGGCTTTGAAAAAGATATTCAGATGCTGCGATGTGTCTACAAAGATCATAATAGTGCAAGCAATGTATTTCCTGTGATGGTCTATGAAGGAAAAAATAGATTTAAAGAAGCAGGAATAGAAATAGTAGACACTTCAGAATTTTGGTATGGGATATTTCTGAGAACACTATGGATATAGCCAAGAAAATACAAATTTACCTGGAGTCTTGACCATGATTAAGTTATCCTTCTTCAGACACATTATGCAAAGACTAAGCTTTTTGGAGAAAGTTGTAATGCTGGGAAAGGTGGAAGGAAAGGAAAGAAGACAACCAGACAACCAAAGTACAGTAGATGGACTCAATTGCAGTGTTAATGAATGCACTATTGAAGACCTGAAAGGGTAAATTGCTATGAGTGAACGGCAGATCGATGGCCCAAAATCATTAAAAAAAAACTGAGGAAATAATCAGGCAATTTAGATACATAACTTTACTTAACTAGACATTTAAATAAAAAAAGATGCAAATCTTCAAAGATAATAAGGGATAACTCGGCTTCCATGGAAAAAACCCTTAGAATCTAAATAAGAAAATTAAGCTTCCTTGAAAAACAAGATAGGATTCCCAAATGCTTCATGTTTCATTACTGTTTGAAATCAGTGAACATTCTGTTTTAGATAACTCAAAATGAAACTTGCATCTGTCATCACAAAAAAAAGACAACCAGCCAATAGCCAGTATTTGGCTTTATCTCAGACTATCAGTTTTAAAAGCATCACTCTCAGACAGAATTAGCTGAAAATACACAGCAAAAATTATTAAATGGAGCATTTCCAAAAGCATTTGGCAGTGAAAGGTAATCGAGTGTTGTATAACTGCTTCAAGGCGTGACCATACCCACCATACCCACAAATAAGGAAAGAAAAAAGATGTGTGAAAAAAGAGTAATTGTCCTCCCATCAAAACTAGCATTTGGCATAGTTTAAATATGTAAGTAGGGCAACACATTCATATGGATTGAATAATAAAAAACATTTAAAGGCCCAAGGAAGCTTTGCAGAGGAAGATGGGCAGCATATAAATTTAGATGATAGATCAATAGATAGATGACAGTTAGACAATAAATGATAAATGATTGGTTAACATATAGATCATGGGTGTTAAATTTGCGGGGTTGCTGTCACATGATATTTCATGACTTTTCCCCTTCCTTTTGCAGTGCTGGGGTGGGTGTGGCCTGTGAATGACACATCTGGCCTGCGGGCCACCAGTTTGACACCCCTGACATAGATGATTGATAGGTAGATGATGAGAAATAGCTAGCTAGCTAGATGACGATAATGGATGGATGGATGGATGGATGGCTAGATAGATAGATAGATAGATAGATAGATAGATAGATAGATAGATAGATAGATAGATAGATAGATAGATAGATAGATAGATAGATAGATAGATAGGAATGTCTGACTTCCCTCTTCAGTGTAATCTTACCAGATTTAACTATGTTAGAAATTCACAGATCTTCAGTGTCTTAAAAAGCAAGACAAGACATGACCTAATGTAACAA